ACATGTAAAATATGTAAAAATCAGAGACATACGGGGAGATGTATGCTTGGTTTCAACAAAACAACCACTATAAAGCAGTATGCAGCAAATTATAATGTGCTCTAATCCTCAGTAGGAAAACATTCTGTCACACTTGGACTTGTCAGGTAGGGCCAAAAAAAAAAAAAAAAGAAACTGTTATAAGAATTGCTCTGAAAAGAGCGATCAGTGCATCTCTAAATGAAAGCAACAATAAAAACAGTACAAAAATCAAAACCTATCAAAAATAAAGTGGTTCAAGTACATCTGTACATGTAAAGCATTGCATAAAAGGATTAACTTAGCAGCCTTTCACATGCAACCAAACTGCTTATTATTAGCTTATAATAATAACTTCCCAGCTATACTTATGTATGGAAATTGTTTACGCCATTTTCATCTCCCCCCTCAGTGGTGCAGGGAACAAGAAAGACCGACTGTCTTGTGATTTTCCACGCACCTAAACGCAGCACAAGGCCCTATTTTCTACTCCTCCGCTCTCAGCCAATCAGCGCGCGCGGTTAGTAGTAAACAAGCGGCACAGTGTGGGCGGAACGCGGCCGCTGATTGGCTGAGCCCTGCCTGCTCGGGTACACACCCCCGCTTCAGCAACGTGTTCGGACACGAGTTTCACCGGGAGGGTCTGAGCTGGACGGGGGGGGGATACGGCTGAAAAACATAGTTTTTTTCCATGCAAAGTCAAGTAAAAACCGACCGCAAAAAAAAGCAACTTCATGCAACACCAACGTAAGATACTGATCTTTTATTGCCGTAAACACCATCTATACAAAGAGATAAACATAAATATCCCGATTTGTGCACATAGTTTAAATATCTTGCAGTATAGATATTATTTTAATGCATATTGAAAGGATTCAGACATAATTGCAGATAAAATAGATTATTTTCGAATTGGGATAATAGATTTTTATAAATGAATGAAAAAGTGTGATGCAAATGTTTATTGTAGTTTATTTTGTGTTAGTAAATAATAATTATATAAAAGTGTATGTTTGTTATCCCTCCTCAAAGCCCACTGCTCTCCACCCGGCAACACAGGCTGAGCTGTGGAGAAACACCCCCTCCCTCCCCCATGCTATAACAGAAAACAGATTTTCTGCAACAACAAATCAGAACAGGGCTGATTACATCATTTATTAAATGCCATTTCATTCGTACTTACTTGTAAGTTTTGATTCCTGATCGTCCGGGTCAAAGCTGCTGCAGCAGCGGATCGTCGCTGCCTGCCTTCCTATGCTGTCCCGCCGCTCCTCAGCTCTGTAGTCTGCCGGAGGAAAAAGGGGGTTGGTCGGATACGTGCCTACGTGTGTCTGCTTGGTGGACCAATGCCGGAGGTGACAGCTGGGCAGAGCGCAGAGATATCAGCCCGCGGCGCGCTGTGCACAAAAGAATGATCTAGGTGAGGGGTTACCAGAGCAGAGCAGAGCAGCAGCAGCAGCAGCAGCATCCACTGTCTGTCTGTTTCCTGTCTGTCTGCAGCACATCTCCTTCTTAGCTCATGTGTTTCAGTCTGATCAACATGGCTCCCTTCCAGAAACATAAACAACTAAAATGGATTGTTTTCTCTGCACTGCACTGAGGTTTTTGCACAACCTTGGATTGGGTAATATATGCAACTTCTTGCAGAATGGTTGCAAAAATAACCTTCTCTGGAAGAGTTGCTGAATATGAGTGCATATTGGTTACTTAGACATGGCCTCAAACTAATGCCTCATAAAAAAATTAAAAAAAACTGCAAATCCCACATGCACATCACATGAATATTTCCTGTAGATTTGTTTTAGTCTAGACTGTGTAATCTGACTGCTATTAATCCAGTTAAGAGAAGACCTCCCCTTTGAATTTTTATTTAAAAACAGCCGTATCAAATGTATTTTAGCATCAAAATTCCCTCAGTTAACAACAACAAACCGAACAGATGACATCTTTGTGTTCTGGCATTTCAACCCCCCCAACATCACACCATGAATTGCCTGCATATCACACAGGACTGGACTGTGTGTACGCGTGTTTGTTTCTGTGTGTTGGAGCGGCCGGATTAGTGTCGGCTGTCTGCACCCTCTCCACCAGACATCCAGTCAGCAGGGATTTTAGGCTCTGAGCACTGATACAGTCTGAGAGAGTATAACCAAGGCCTTATCACAATCATGCACATGAACCTGACGGGATTTATCTGAATCAAATGATAGTTTTATCCACAGACTCCTAGAGGCCCATGGCCGGGACACAAGGGGACTTGCAGAGATTAATAATGGAGAAAACTCAGAGCAGAGATCTTCCAATTGTTTATGGCAGTGAGAGTTAACAAATCACTGTAGTGTTATGTATATGTGATTAAATAATGTGTTCAATGGGAGAATATATGACTCATCATATACATATATATGCATCGATAAAAAGGTATGCTACTGTAGGTCATTTATCCCTGCTGCAACCAGACTCTACAATCAGACACTACAACTGCAATAACTTGTGCAATGTATAATGTGCAATTTACCATTTGATACCCTGTGCAGTAACTGTTACTCTGTATTTTACAACCAGTGCAATAACAATATATATAATAAATATAAGTGTCCATCTATATAAATTCCCATGTAAACATCCTGATCCTACTATAAAAAAAACGACTCAAAAAGTTGTCATATGTGGACCCACTATATATACTGTTATATCCCATGCACCTTTTTCTTCTTTTAGCACATTTTTCTTCTTTAACTATTTGAGCTGATGTCATAAGTACATTTTTCCACTGTGAGATCGATAAAGTAAATCAATCAATCAATTAAACACGTTTCGGGTCTAGGTAGGTAGGGTTTGTGTAGTCTGAAACCCAGCAGACAAAGTCAGAATTGACTTCGATGGACACATTTGTGTGCAGAAGAAGGAATTTGAGTTTAGTTTTCGCTCACATTATAATATATAGCAGTTCAGAAGAGCAGACTGCATAGACGGAAAGCTTAGGGATAGAAACAAGGATAAGTGCTGTATGTAAAGGCGTGCATGTGTAGACCATCTGTTTTCAAGAAATAAAAAATGAGAGGGAAGCTTTTCTTTTGTGAAGGCTTATATGTCTCTAGCAAAGTGTCTACCCTGGCTATGGATTGTTCATTGGGTATAATAGAGAGATAGAGTAGGGAAAGAAACCGTCTTTCGGGCCTGTTTCTTTGTGGCTTTAGTGCTCTGCACTGGGATGAGTGGAGTCCACACACATAGTTGTTAGTTGCTTATTTTTTGGAACAAGGCTAGTACAGGTCAGGATTAAAGGAAAGTTCAGCCCTGATGGTCCAGTCTGTAGACCTTATTGTTCATTGTAGTTTGGACCTGTCCTGTTTTTTTTTTTGAATGGGCACAAAACCGATTGAGGGTGGTGTAGATGTTAAGCAGCCACTGTGAAAGGTTGTACTGCCTTAAGCTGGACTCACACTGTATGATTTTTTTTACCTTTTTCTGGCCGATTCTTCAGTCATGTGAGAATTTTTAGATCGGTCCAACTTTCAGCCTGATTGTGAGTTGTGTGATATACAGGTGGTAACGAGGGGTAATAAGCCTCTCACAACCACCTCCCGATCAGGAATCGTAAGGTCGGGAGAAAATCAAACATGTTTGAAATTCAGTCAGGTCGCATCAGAGCGTGAGAGCATACATCGTTAACTGTGAACTTTTAAACGTGGTTTCATCGTACAGTTTGAGCTGTAGCTGCGTGCAACGATTGAAAAATATCATACAGCGTATGCCCAGCTTTAAAAGCCACAGGAAATACCACCATCCTTTGAACCGGATGTGTCTCACAGTCGACATTACACTGTTCAGGATGGTGGGGGAGGCAGTGTTGGGCCTGTAACCAAGAAGTCCATCTTCACCTCCACTTTTTTATTGTAGGTTTAGCTCCAGGGGGATCTGAGCACAGCAGTGGAACAGCCAGTCCACCTCCTATCATTCAGATCTATCATTTTCATGGATCAGGCCTATGAAATTTGTGTCATATTTTCAAGAGTTTCACAGAAAGGTCCAGGTTGGTTGCAGTCATTTGTTTAGAGTTAAAATTGGAGTAGAGAGAAACCATAACCCTGGGGAGGCTTCAGTGTGTTTGAGCGCAAGAGGAAGCTCCCTTTCCTCACTACTATTGCCGGTCAGTCAGGAAGCCGACGGAGGCTGTTACAGAAAGTGGGTCAGCATTCCACGAAAGAATGCTGACCCAGAATAGAATTACCGGTAGTTATGTTTAAGATGTCTATAGGTGTGATAAACAGTGAATAATGTCAGGACTCAACATCATTGTTATAGTCATTGTTTCACAACTGAAGTCAAATAGAGTGGCCTTCAATAAGTCAACAGTATCCAAAGAAGTTAAATATATATATAATTATTTTTCTCCCTTCCTGAAGGCTTGCTTTTTCTTGTTAAGCAGTTCGTCAGATCAATTGGAATCCATGGTTTCTTATTTCACTGTTCTGGTATGGATGGTGTTATCTGCATAGAAGTTTATGAGGTCAATCACACATTCAGTCATTGCATAGATGTCCTCGTTATGTGGCTGACAAAGTGCATCCCAGTCTGTAGCGTTAAACAAACTTGCAGGGCTTCTTCAGCTTCCCGTTACCGTCTTCTTGCAGTTCTTTTTAAATGCAGATTGTCCTTTTTAAAGGGGGTTATACTCTAAGCAGAGCAAAACAAGATTGTGATCTGATTTCCGAAGGGGAGCCCATACTATAGAGATAATATGAGTCGTTAACATTTGTATAATATAAGTAGTATTACATTCTACAGAAAGTAGAATTTAAAACGGTTACGTAAGAAGAACATGCTGGTGAGGATTCTCAGTCATCCAGGTCACCGTCATTCCAAAAAAGTTAAAAACAAAACCACTGGATCTTTTTTCCAAGTTTGAAGTGAAGCAAGTGGGAAGAGAAAC